AATAAGATGAGCGGGATTTCTAAAAAAATAGAGAGAGTAGTTTGGTGGTGTTTGGTGTGGACCGTGGAAACACATGTGCACAGAAGCTCATTTAAGAAAACAAAATCAGTGTCTCTGTGTGTGTAGGCGACCGAATGAAATCAAGTGTCCTCTTGTCCTGCTCACCGAAACAATAAACAATCAGCTGCTCCATACGGACCATTCCGAGTTCCTTTTGCACGCGAACTTTGAACAACGAGACACACGTTACACGGACGCAGCCGTGCAAAGTGGTTCGGTGTGGTACTACCTGGTCTTTTATAATTCCGCTTTACCGTATAACCTACTACCAAACCTCGGTTGTTAGGGCTAAACCTGGACCATTTCGTCGAGTGATGCCATTGCCACGGCTGTGCTCGACCGACCGGTAACGGAAAAGATTGCCACAAAGCGGGACGGGAATGCCAGAGAGATGCTGTAGTGGCACGGTGGGGCGGCGCGTGCCATCTGCGTCGTCGAGTGCGTGCAGGTGCCGGTCAGGGTGGGGGCGACGGACGGAAAGGGCGCGGATTGAAGATCGCACTCGGACACTCGGTCGCGGCATGCAATTGCAAGCCACCAACGCAGCGCACGGCTGAGAGCATCTCTAGCGGATCCCGTATAATGCCGACCCGCATACGGTGTTTATAATTCAACGTAGAACCGGTCGAAATCGTGTGCGGCAGAGTAGACTTCATATATGAAATTGTATAATTTTAAAAAAACTTTCACAGAAGAAATTGCAACCACACTAGTTCATCACATACTACATGAATACATGATCATACACTAGTTCATCACATATTTTCCATGATCATACATACTACATTCTACCACTACTACTAGAGGGGGTGGGGGATCTCGCGGCGGCGAGGCCGAGGTCGATGCATCAAAATTGACGAGCTCGCGGCCGAGGACGACGCGGTGGAGGAACTCAGTCCTTCTCGTCGGAGCTGGCAAGATCGATGAACTTCTGCCTCTGCTCCTCACGGATGCGCCGCCGCTCGTCATCCTTGTGTCCTTCGCGGCAAGGTTGGCCGCAACCACCAGTTTGAGAATGAGGTCTTAGAGCTCCTCGTCGTGGCGCCGACGCTCCGCCTCCTCGCCCAAGCCCCGTTTGGCAATGGCGACCGTGATCGTGTTGACATCGACCACGAAATCTTTGGGCCCGACGACGCCTCGGCACTTCATCTCCTCCGGCTCCTGCTTCACGGCGACGAGCTCGCGGTTGTCCGGCTCTTCCGACCACTCCTTCACGGGGAGAAGCGTCGCGCCGGAAGGGCCCCTAGCGGCAGAGGAAGAGCCCGCGGTCGAGGAGGACGACCGGAGGAGCCCGTGTCGGCGGTTGTACTCCTCCGTCTCGCGACGAAGGAGCCTTGACGGCGGCTCGAGGCGATGGTTCGTCCACTTCCTCGCCGTGCGCTTCCTCGCGCCGTCCGCACGGACACACTGCTCGTGCTCGGGGCCGCCGGTGCCGCCGGAGTTCTACATACGGCCCCACATTGTGTTTGAAGGCGGAAGGGGTCTCACCGGCGGCGAGAAAATGCGGGGGAGAGAGTGGGGAATCATGGTGAAACGCGACGGCGGATGGATAGGGTTTCAACCCGTATCTGCCCCGTAAACCCATAGATATACTGCTTCAGGGGGGGCTGTTTACAGGCCGCGTAAATTTTTTTACGGGCCAAACAAGTATACAGGCTCTGTTCTAGCCAAAAAATTGGGCCGGGCCCGTATATTCACCGGAATTATGCGGGTTCGCGAGATATAGTGCGCTAGAGTTGCTCTGAGGGATGAAAGCAAAGCGTGCAGAGGAAGGGAAGCCTCAGCCGTTTCGACCAGCAAATTAAACGCTGCTTAATTTCGGATTACGTAGACGCCAACTGCCACGGCGGTGGGTCTTAATGGTGATGATGATGATGATGCCATCGTCCTATTCTTTTTTCCCAAATATAAATATGAATATGGATGAATGAATAAAACAACAAAAACTAGCTTTCTGGTCGGTCGTGATGTCGTTACACCTCACAACGTTTTCATTCCAATAGTGCTCGATCCGGCCGGCAAAGACTACCAACTCCACAACCCCAAATTTGACTTGTTTAAAAACAATGTCCACTTTTCAATGTGAGATTTTGTTTCCAAGATTTTCAAACATGATTTTTGTAATTTTATACAGAAATACAGTTAGTTTCGTGTACTAAGGGAGCCACTCGTGTTGTTCCGGTGAAACCCTAGATATGGTCTTCCAGATCGGACGATGGCAGCACTGCTGTGTCATTCTTTATTGGGAGCGTCATTTGTGGAGCAGCGCCGGAAGACAGAGGCGGGAGGTGGAGCGACTTCGTCTTGCACGGAGTTTCGGTGGAGATGTCAAGTCATGCTTGGGCGACAGGTGCTACGCTATGTCATGCTTGTTTGGCAGGTGCTACGCACGACAGATCTTCCGGAGGCTTCAAGCTGTGTCGGCTAGTGGTACACGAGGCATGGTGCTGTGGTGTACTGGAGGCAACTGCGACGTGCTCAGAAGTTTGCGCGCAGGGAGGTGATGCCATTGGTCACCGTGGTGGCGTCGACGGGCGGCCAGATTGGCAAGGATGATGCGGATCTATTTCTTGAAGATGGGTCAGCTGTTTGATGATGATGGCGACTTCTAAAACGGTGCATGTGGTGCACGCTTTAGGTTTGCTGCATCAGCTGTCAGTTTCGATACATTATGTGGATGGATCGGCGACGACCCCGGTTTTAGATATGAGGAGTGAGAGCACTCCATATATCGAGTTTGTAGGTGCGAGTGGTGACTTCGGGTGGTTTGATGTATGTTTTCGTCAGCCTTTGTTGAATAATTACTAGAGGTGATCATATGCATCAATTGATGTAGAGGCCGGGGGTCTTAACCTCCTTTAAAAAAATGTACTTTGGCGTCATGGTTAGGGCTATGCGGCGGTGGCGATGTTCCTTAGTAGGAATAACATCTCCACGTCTGATCCCCATCTTGATGGTGAGTCTAGCGTAGTCAGAGGGCGTGTGGTAGTGTGCCTTTGCCGGATCTCACGTGATTCATTCTGCGCTAGTCTTCAGTAGATCTATTTGGATACAGTCTTCGAACGGGTATCTACGAGTTTGATCTTTGCAATCTACTTTTCTCTTCATCAGAAACTGTTGTTGTTCAGGTGCATTAATCCTGTGGAACCTTAGCACAATGACCTTTCGACTGTTTACCACAATAAAGTTTGCGTTTTACCCGGCTTTGGCAGGCGAGGGGCAATGTTGGCCCTTCGGTTCTCTCTATGGATGTAATTTTTGTTACTTCTTGTGTTCTTTGTACCGCTATATCAGATAATGAATATATTGAAAATTTCTCTCGCAAAAAAAGACGAGGTTATACTGTAAATTTTTTTTAAAAGAAAAAACTCAAACCTATTCATCAAACATCATGAGAGTATAAATAACACAAGAAGCAATTCCTACTATTGTAAAGGGGAGTTGGTTTTACCTCCCCTTTGGTTTCCTGTTGATATTTTTTTACAATCTCAACTGATGCCGCACAAAATAAAAACCAACGTAAATGGAGTAATGTGAAATATTCTACACCAAATCAACACTTTCCTAAAACCACGTCGTGCATTAACTTAATCCAATCAAATCATATCTTACCAAAATCTCAACTAAATTAAATTTTTCTTTGTATTTCTCTACTCATAATTGAATCAAATCAAATCTTACTAAAACCACAAATAAATCAAAACTTTCCCTTCGTTCCCCAGCCATACTAGAATTAAATTAGGTCATACCAAAATCTAGAATACGATGAGTATAAGGTATATGTCAAACAAGATTGATGTTGAATCACTATAATATATATGTTCTCGTTCCAACACATGTATAATTAGCTACTCCCTCTGTTTTCTAAATATGAGCCTTTTTAGAGATTTCAATATAAACTACATATAAATGTATACAAACATATTTAGAGTGTAAATTCATTCATTTTGCTTCGTATGTAGTGCCTTATTGAAATATCTAAAAGACTTATATTTAGAAATAGAGAGAATAGTAAGCATGTATTCGCAAAAAGAAAAAAAGCTTATGAGCACGTGTTCGCAAAACACCAAAACGCGCGCGCACACACACACGCTTATAAGCATGATTTCACAAAAAGGAGAAGTTTATACGCATGATGTGGTTTGATCAAGTTATTGAGATCACACATTCACACATCAACAAGATTTTATGACGCGAACCAATTTATGGTTGGATGTTTAGAAGGACACTAGTATCATCGGACCATGAAAGTTCAAGTCCTTCGACACTGATGCTCACAATTTACTGGATTTATTCTAGTCCTTCTGGCGATGTGCATCTAGTTGAAGGAGATGTTTCCATCCACTACAAACCGTCTGTGACGACTTTACCGGCATCAGTGGTGTGTTAAAAAACAAGATTTTGCGGGTGGTGAACGGGATCAGTTGGTCAACCATGAAGTCGGATGACGTGGCTCCTTCTTGTTTTATAGCCACGGCTTGACAGTGGTAGTAGAATATTTTAGCAAACACAAAGACAAACTTACAAACAGAAAAGAAAAAGGAACACGACGACGACGAAGAAGGAGCAGAGAGAAAGAGACGTGGAAACGGACCATCAGGTTGGACCGCAGCTACCACTACCACACCAGATTGGACCCCTTCGGCCTCCTCCTCCTCCTCCCCACCTTCATCACCCCAAGAGTCTCCACCTCCCTTCGTTTAATCTTCCCTCGTCTCCGGTCCAAAGTTCCCTCGTCTCCGGTCCAAAGTTCCAACACAAAAGGAAGCCAAGCCCCTCGAGTCTTCCTCCTCCCCCTCGCCGCGGTTCCGACCCCAAACTCCGCCCTTTAAATCGTCCGCGGCGTCTTCTTGCATACGCGTCAAGAATCCTGCTGCTCTGCGTCGCCGCGGTTGGTTCTTGCCGGAGGTTGTGGGTAGGTTGCCGCCGGCCGGTTTAGGATGACCGAGGACGCCAGAGGGCGGGCGGTCAACCCGTCCTGCCCCAACGCCGCCAACCCTTTCCACCGCTGCGCCGAGTACTGCCCCGTCGCCGCCCCCGCGGGCAAGTCACCGGCGGCGCCGCCGCCGCCTGGCCGCGCGGTGCAGAACGGGACCGGACCGCGCGGCGACGGAGCGGGAGGGGCGAGGCAGCAGGCGGTCAACCCGGACTGCCCCAACGCCGACAACCCCTTCCACCGCTGCGCCGACTACTGCCCCGTCGCGCCCCCGGCGGTGAAGTCGCCTCCGCTGCCGCCGGGCCTCGGGGGCCAGAACGGGAGGACGCACAGCGACGGCGACCTGCAGCCCAGGACGCGCCGCCGCGACAGGGCCGGCGGCTCCGGCGGCGGCCTCCCCCTCTACGTCTTCCGTGAGCAACCAACCCCCCTTCCCTTTCCATCCCCAAATTCTTAATGATAGATAGTTGTCGTAGAAGCAGCACTGTTCATACTAGCATGAAATTGACCAATTGCGAACGATAAAAAACTGAATTTTTTTGGTCATGCTACCGCTGCTGCAGTGCGTGAAGGCTCCTCGGACGGAGAAGGCAAGAAGGTGGATCCCCGGTGCCCCAACGCGCCCAACCCGTTCCACGTCTGCACCAACCACTGCCTCGCCAAGATGGTCGAGGGCGGCCGCTCGTCGGAGGGTGGCAAATCCCCCATTTCCCTCTTCTCCCGCCACTCCGGTCGCTCCACCTCCTCTTCGGAAGGTTGTTCCTTTGTTTCACTTGCTCCTGGCCTGCTTGCATCTATCTATGTGCTTCTCCCTCTGTAAACTAATATAAGAGCGTTTAGATCACTACTTTAGTGATCTTATGCTCTTATATTTCTTTAAGAAGGGAGTAGTTGGCATCTCGAGTCGACGTTTGTTCTCATATTCACCGTGTCTCTCGGTTGATTGCGTGCAGATGGCAGCGTCAAGTCCGGGGGCAGCAAGAAGGCGGATCCAAAATGCCCGAATGCCGGCAACCCTTTTCATGAATGTGGAGAGCATTGTACCACCAAGATGAAGGAACTGGAGAAGCAGAAGAAAGCCGATAAGAAGTCGCCACGCAGGAAAGGTAGAACAAATATACTACTACCGGGCTTCCTCTCCTCATATGGATTTGCTTTGTCTTAATTTGTGGGATCAGTGGGATCGCCACGGTATGCTGAATTATAATGTCTACGTTTCAGTAACAGTTCTGGTGATTCTCATATGAGATTTCATTCTTTCTGGCTGCAGATGCTCAATTAAGTTCCGTTTAATCGTCGCATTTCGGCTTTTATTGTTGTAACTGACATCAGTGCCCTTGCAGGTGGGAAGGATGGCGCCGTGGTGCAAAATTGGAAGGTCGATCCGAGGTGCCCAAATGCGGGCAATCCGTTTCATATATGCGCCCAGTACTGTTTCGATCATTTGAACGAAGCGCCATCAACACCTACAAGCAAGCCAGGTGTGTTCTTTTAGTTACCTGAACCTGCTAATGGTGTGTGTATGTATGCATGGATGTGAGGCTTTGGTTTAAGGTCCACTTGACAACCATATTTTATGGTTTTCTGTATATCTGTTTATTTTCAGACTCAAGAAAGGGAAAGGCTGTCATGAAATCAGAGCCAACAGGAGAAATCAATCCTGATTGTGTCAATGCATCCAATCCGTATCATAAATGTGGAGAATATTGCAAAAGAAATGGCAACAGATAGAGACAAGGTAATGTCATTCGTATGTTCATTCTTTATTGTGAAAGAATAATTAATCTTTTGCGTGAATTGAAGTTATCTTACTAGTACTCCGTTTTTTTTTTATCAAGCCATGGTTTCCTAGTTGCATTTTCAACACGCTTAGTCATTTTGACAGAGTTCACCCTTTAGTTTGAATACCCGGTGGGTTAAAGTTTGGTGGTTGTAAAATGTCCACTGCCCAAATTCCTTTTGACATGGTCCACCCTTTATGGAGTTGAAAAAATGGTTTGAGGAGATCAGTAGACATACATGTTCTTGTTATGAATCCAGATTCCCTTTCCTCCACATTGAATGTGGCCTAGTAGTAGAACTTCGTTCGATCATCTACACCTACTTTATCTGATTTTATTGTAGAACTTAGTTAGTTCGTCTACACCCACTTTATCTGATTTTTCTTTTGTCCAGCTTTGAACTTTCCTATGAATTACTCATACTGAGTCGATCGTCTGTATCTTTTGTATAGCAACCCCCAAAACAACCCTACTTTTCTTTATGAAGTCAATTCAATCAATCTCAGTGTGTTATCTGATTTTTTTCTTCTAATGCATCGTCATAGTTAGGCATGAAAACATACATCTGAGAAAAATAAATATTATTTTGAATAATGTCAACAACTATGAACATTAGCAGCCCATACATCGTGGTAGTTGGATACGAAAACAAACTTCTGAGAACAATAAACATTATTTCAGATGATGTGGACAGCAATAAGCATAAGTAGCCCAGGCATTGTGGTGGTTGCATCTAGGTACAAACTTCCAATGAAATTATACATACATTGTACATTAATGTCAACAGCAATAAGAACATACATAGCACACGCCTTGTTTTATTATCTGCTTCGATCAACATTTTGGTTGAGACGTCCTTTTTTTGGTGACACCCGCCTCCTTTCGTGCTGCCAGGCTGTCAAGATACCGCTTCTCCTCCAGATGACGATGGTGAAAAATAAGTGATGCTCGCGACATTAGCCTTTTTAAGTTGCAGTAAGTAGTAGCTGTGTCTTGTCCGGCTCATTTTGTAGTTTGGCTGCAGCGGCTCCGTCTTCCCGGTGCTTGCGTGTATATTTTTCTACATCCATACTATACATATATTCTTCATGGTGTTCATACCAGATTAATGAGTTTGCATATGTAGGCCAGTGTAAGGTATTGCCCGAATACGTATAGTAGTCATATTCTTTTGTAATACATATATCGGCATTAAGCATGTTTTGCCCCCTTCCACCGGTGTTCTTGCGGATGTTTGTTGGCACTGGGTGCCCGCGCTCATGTATATTGTCCAAATCATTTTTGGCCGTTGCCGTCGCCGTCGTCTTGATCAACCGACGAGGGGCGGCTCATTATGAGATCAGCTGTTTGACAAGTGTAATATGAATGAGCCGCTCTTCCTGGTTGGGGAAAGCTGGTTGCGCTAATGGAGTCGTTTTCCCTTCTGGAAGATGTGTCATGGTGATGGAGCCATCGGGGTCAGCAACTCAGCGGCCATTACGGCACGGGAGGAGAAGAAAACTGTGTACAGAGTGGAGAACCACAAGTCCTGTCCTGGCACTGAGATGAGAGCCTGGAATTCTGAGGCGTACTGCGTGGGGCGGGAGACTCGGAGGAGCTCCCGTTTCTTTTGATTTGACTGTGAAGAGATTCTTGATGTGTGCGTTGCTGATGATGTGATCGCGTGTTCATTTAGGTTCATTCACTTCACACGTAGTACTACGCAGCGGCGTGAGGACGAAAGGTAGGTCGCCGTAGGAGGGCTGGTGGCTGCTATTGATTCCTCCGTCCTTTCCTTTCTGGAGGGCTGGTGGCTGCGTTGACGATGGCGATGACGGCATGAAGCGTTTCTGCAGCACGCACGGGCGTCGACCAGGGCAGCATTCTATGAGACCAGGTCTCATGCAAGACCTATCCTGATGAATGACACGTGGCATTTATCAGGATGGGTCTCACCTGCTAACCGTGAGACCTGATCTCATATAATTTTTTTCCGTACAGTTGGGCCATCGTTGGCTGCATGTCAGTCATGTGATCCCCGGTCTCGCCTTGCCCAAATGGGTTGGGCGGGCCGGCGATCCTGATGGACGTCTACAGGTGGGCATGGTGGGCCTGACGGCGCGGGCTTAGGCAAAATGGTGGTGTCGTGGACAGTCCGGCAGCGGCGGCCTGGACTCTTTGTTCGGCCCCGACAATGATGGCGGCGATCCGTGCACGAGATGCTTGATGGAGGCTATTCAAACAGATCTAGGTGAAAACCTACCTTCGGCTTGTTGCCAAGGCTGACGGTGGCGGCGCTCCCTTCTTGAAGGCATCACCAAGGAGAAGTTCAAGGCCACTATCTGTCACCTCTGGGGGAAACCCTAGATCAGTAGATCGGATGACGGCGGCGCAATTGTGTCGTCTCCCCCTTGGTGACGCTATTCTTGGAGGTGTTAACAGGCTCGAGGGACCATAGGATGTATTCTTTGGTGGAGCAGTGCTTCATCATTCGCATTGATGGGGGGCAGAACTCGGTGGTGTGGCGCTGTGGAGATTTCGTGCCCGATGTGCCGAGATGGACTCGCGCAGGAGGATGTCGTCCGGCGTCATGGTGGCGTCGATGGCAGAGAGGCCTGGCAAGGTCGGTGCGTTGGGTTCTGCTTTGAAGATGGATTGCTGGAAGAGGGCGACGACGATACATGAGAGTGCGTCGGACCAGTTTGTGCCCCAAATCAGGTATGTGGCTTGGTTGGGGCCTTTGGCTTTAGATGTTAAGCATTTGTCCGATGTCTGTTTGGTATTAGGCTTGGACTATCGGCACCCCTTCATCAGGTGGATAGGAGTAGCGATAGATGTTGCTAAGATGGTGGCTTCAGGCTACCTGATGTACTATTTTGTAAGGTCTTTGTGAATAATTAATAAAATGGTTGCATCAATTGTCCAGATGCAGAGACGGGGGTAATCCTCCTTAAGAAAACAAATTCCATTATTTCAGGTGGAGACAGAGGACTATGTTGCATGGCACCTCACTAAAAGTGGTGTTTTTTCAGTGTGCTCTGCCTATTATAAGCAAATGGGAAGTGTGTTATGACACAAAGGATAGTGGCCTGGTTCACTCGTCCATGGCCCCCCACCTAGTTTGGAAAAAGCTATGGAATTTGAAAGTACCAGCAAAAGTTAAAAAATTTATATGGAGATGCTTGCACAATGGAGTCCCATGTCGGAGTACTTTAATGAACTGTCATGTGGGAAATTTATCCCAATGTCCGTATTGTACAGATGGAGCGGAGGACTTAACCCATATGTTGTTTAAATATGTAAGATCACAATTAGTGCGGGAAGCTCTGGGAATTGCAGCTGATATCAACTTTTCTTCTCTCAAGGATTGAGAAGGCTCAACAGTTGTAGAGTTCATTCTCTATGATAATTCTTACCGAAAACAATATTCTGAGTGCTTGAGCTACTAGAGCTTATAACCACGGTCTGCTGGTTTCTATGGTGGCAACGAAGACAGTTTGTGCGAGGGGGAGAGATTTTGTCTCCGAAACGAACAGCTCCGGCGGTGGTAGCCCTAGCACTCAACTATGTCAACGGAGCACAAACAAACACTACACCCAAGATGAATAGATGGCCGGCGTTCTTAGAAGGACAAGCAGTCCTAAATGTCGATGCTTCGTTTATAGAAGGTGATTATGCAGGGTCATGTGGTGCGGTTATCCGTGATCACCGAGGATCTTTCATGTCTGCATCCGCAGCGAGATTAGAACATGTAGCTGATGTTTGTACAGCAGGAGCGGCAACTTTGCTTGAAGGACTGAAGTTAGCAAGAGATACAGGATGCCATAATGTGGTGGTAAGATCGGGTAATATCACGGTGTTGGATGCACTTAGACTCAATGGAGGCTATTCTATGGTGGCAGCGCCAGAGTTTGATGAATGTCGTAGTTATCTCCAAGATTTTGGGAGGTTTACTATTGAGCATTGTATTAGACAGTCAAACTATGTAGCTCATGAGCTGGCTAGACGGGGACATGTCCATAATCCATCTCGTTGGATTGACGCCCCGTCTGATTTCATTGTAAATCTATTAGCAGACGATGCATTTATCTTTGATTAATAAAGTATACTTTCCTATAAAAAACACATCAACATGCACCAACAATATCTAACTCCAACCTTTCATTTTTCACCAACACCTAGGGTGTGTTTGTTTGGTCACCAAATAGCGGCTCCGTCAGCTTCTAGGGGTTGTTTGGTTGGCTTCCATAAAAACCTGCTTGACTCAGGCACCAATCTCAAGCGTTTGATTTTGTAGGCCCGAGGCCTGATGACCCACAAGTATAGGGGATCAATCGTAGTCCTTTTGATAAGTAAGAGTGTCGAACCCAGCGAGGAGCAGAAGGAAATGACAAGCGGTTTTCAGCAAGGTAATTTCTGCACGCACTGAAATTGTCGGTAACAAGTAGTTTGATAGTAAGATAATTTGTAACGAGCAAGTAACGGTAACAGTAAATAAAGTGTAGTAAGATAGCCCAATCCTTTTTGTAGCAAAGGACGGGATGGAACGGTCTCTGATAATAAGCAAAGCGTTCTTGAGATCACACGGGAATTTCATCTAGTCACTTTCATCATGTTGGTTTTATTCGCGTTCGCTACTTTGATAATTTGATATGTGGGTGGACCGGTGCTTGGGTGCTATTCTTACTTGAACAAGCCTCCCACTTATGATTAACCCCCTTGCAAGCATCCGCAACTACGAAAGAAGAGTTAAGATAACAATATAACCATAGCATTAAACATATGGATCCAAATTAGACCCCTACGAAATAGCGCATAAACTAGGGTTTAAGCTTTTGTCACTCTAGCAACCCATCATCTAATAACTAGTTCACAATGCAATCCCTTAGGCCCAAATATGGTGAAGTGTCATGTAGTTGACGTTCACATAATACCACTAAGGGAATCACAACATATATATCATCAAAATAT